GTAGGACCTTTGCTCTTTTTGATTTACATCAATGACATAAATGAAGGAATGGTCAGTAAATTACTTAAATTTTCTGATGATATTAAGTCTTGCTGATGATTTACAAAAGGATTTTGGCAAATAAATGGCAAAAGGGTTTTGATTATAATAAATGCAAAATAATGCATGTGGGTTATCATAATTTGAATTATAAATATAATTTGGATGGGAATAACCTTAACCGTGTCATGAAATAAAGGGACCTTGGAGTAATGATTGATCAGTCTCTCAAGCCATCCAAGCAGTGTACTGTTGCTGGTAGTTGGGCAAATAGAATCTTAGGTTGTATCTACAGAAATATTGAATACAAGTCTGAAAAGGTTATAATTTCATTGTATAGGTCATTGGTTAGGCCACATTTGAAGTATTGTGTTCAGTCTTGAGATCCTTACCTTAGGAAGGACATTGAATTATTAGAAAGGGTTCAGAGGAGGGTTACTAGAACGGTGCCTGAGATGGAGGGTTTGTCATATAAGGAGAGATTAAGATCTTTGAAACTGTTTTCTCTTAAAAAATGAAGAGTTAGAGGGATCTGATTGAAGTGTTTGAGATTGCAAAAGGAATTGATAGTGTTGATACATCATCCTTTTTCATATTTAACAGTGAGAATAGTAGGACTAGGGAACACACATAAATTTTGGCAAGGTAGGAGTTATTTACAGTTAAGGCAGTTTTATTATTCTAACAGGGTGGTTGGCCTCTGGAATGGGTTTAAGTGAGTTCAAGAGAAAGCTTGTTGATTATATGAATGATAAGGGCTAGCTTTAAGATTTTTTTTAATTTATTTATTTAATAATTTTAATTTAATTTAATTTTGTTGTCCCTAAACATTTATGTTACATTATAAGCTTAGCTTGGTAATATGCTGCTGAAAAAAAATCTGTTTATGAACAACTTTTCCCAAAATTACAATTTAGATTTTTTTAAAGCTTTCTTTATGATTTTATACTTTATTTGAATTATGAAGTTGCAACATGAAAAGAACTTTTTCTTTTTCATGGAACAAGAAGAAGAAGTAGACTTGGTTATTTATACTTGCACTCAACCATATTAAGTTTTACTTTACCAATAAGGTTGCTGTGTTAGTCTGTGTTTACATTGGGCCTTATTGGCTTAAGTAACTGCTTGAATGAGCAAAGAAAAATCACAAAAAAGAAATGGAAAATATATATGTAAATAAATATAAAATGGGTTTAAAACTTATAACATGTATTAAACAAAACCTCCTGGTTAACTTTTTTAAAAAAACGTTCATTTACTTATAATTCTGGTATTGTAAAAAAGCTATTATTATTGTACATTAGTGATCATAATTAAACATAATGAAACTGTATGCAGTGATTTTCAAATTAGAACAAAAGTAAAATTTACACTTTTCTAAAAATTACTTGATATGAAAGTTTTACAAAATGTAGGAAAACAAAATTCACTAATTAAAAACTACAACAAAGGTAAGCATTTTTAATTGTTTCTTAAAATTGATATCACAATGAAATCTTTTCTAAATCTCAAAATTGTGAATTCATACAAATATTTTACATAATATATTTTCAGAAACTACACAGTCTGTAAAAAGTCAATCTCAAGTTTGAAACTATTTCATTCACTAGTTTATTTTAGCAGTTCAATAAATTAATGTGCCCTGGTTTGAAGAAATACAATGCAATGTAATGTTTGAAATAATTTTACAAACTACTAGTTACTAGTAAGTAACACTGTTTGATATGGTCATCATTTTTTAGAACTAAGAACTTTTTTTTTGTAAAAATAATGTTGTGGTCATGGTGAAGGTTTTTTCACCCACTGGCTGAAATACACGCACACACTTTGAGTGCAGTGTTTCTTGCAGCCATACTGTGAATGTGCCATTATGTGGCTTAATATACATAGGTGTATGAATGTGTATAAATAATGTCATTATTGTGTTTTTTTGTTTCTAGTAATATTGAGATCAAGGTCAGATTTTGCTCATGGTTTCTTTTATATTGGCTTGAATTGAGATTATTGAAAATTTTTAGCAACAATTTCATCAAAAGTTTATAATGCAGATGTTAGAATTACCTTAGTAGTTTTTCTAAATATAATCCATGATTGATAATAGACACTGGCTTAGCCAACTATTAGCTGACACAGTACAAAGGCAATATTGTTGAATCAAAACTTGGCAACCAGTACTTGTATGTAAGTGTTGGACTAAGCTTATCAAAACATGATTTATTTGTGAATAGCTATAAATTTGCTTATCAGGTTATGTTAGATTATATTAAACATTAGTGGCACAGACCACATGTTTATCACTGGGTAAAGGCCAAGTGTTGCCTAATGGTTAGTGTGCTGGGCTATGATTTCAAGGGTCTATAGTATGTATACATTTGCCACAAAATTGTGCTCCACTCTTTGTGGGGCTGTAGGTGCATTATAAGAATGACAGGTGAAACCCACTATTTGGTTAGAGTGACCCAAGAGTTGTTGATGGGTGCCTTTGACTAGCTGCCTCCTTTTAGTCTAACTTCAAACTTTGAGACAGCTAGGGCGTATAGTCCTTGCATAGCTATGTGGAAATATGTATTTGAAACAAACAAAAACGGTGGATAGGATGTGACTGTTTATTTTACAGAGTAGCAATTGACATTTTTACTCATGTTTTGCCAGTGTAAATGTTATATTCAACTGCTAACCATCCTTATCCATTGTTGTCTGGGTATTGCCTGGATAGAGAGCCAATGTTTTCCCTTTCTTGTGATGTCTCACTCTGTCACTTTTGTTGCCTACATTTTCCTGCTTGTGATTGGCAATCAGAATTGTTTTTTCTTTTTCTCTACGTTTTACTATGAGGTACGTAATAAGCATCAGAAATGTTTATCATACCTAACTGTTCTCCCAAAATAAAGTAATAAAACCTATTTATTTTTGCAGAATTTCACAGGTTCAATTGTCTATTCTATAAAAAAGTTAGTCTTTTTTTTGTCAGTAGACATGACAGTATTTCATGGATTTTTATTGACACCACAATGGCAACACACCTCTATAAAATATACAAATATTTTTCTGACATCATTTTCACTTCAATCAGACCAAAAATCTGGTCTGTCTTTTGTGAAAAAAATTAGATTACAAAGTTTCCATTGACACTAAAAATGTGACATCACAGACATTAAACCTGAGTATGCTGATACCATATCTTTGTTGGCCTACTATTATAGGGGCTGAAAGGTGCAAACAAACAGACACAAACTTAGCTTTATATATTAGTTTTCTGTTGAAGAATCTAAAACTGGAATTTAGATTTAATCTCTCCTCATATCACCAGTTTGCTTTACAGCAATATAAATAGGTTTCTTAAACTATGGGAGCAATCCTAATGATGTGATTTTACAAGTTAAGAAGTATTTTCCATACTTCATTCTCCAACACTTGATGCCTACTCTCACAATGGCCAGTGAAACATTTCAAGGTATTTCCCATAATGCCTCAGATGAATAATACTTTCCTCAGCTGTGCTTCATACCTTTAATTTATTTCAAGACTTACACTGCATGATACTTGTTATTTTTTCACCAAATTTTAACAATTCAAATAAAATACAGTGGATAGACTGAAATACTTTTCAAACTAATTGTTTGTCTTTCCAGATACATGAAGATCCAATGCATAGTTACATTACAGAGACCAAGAAAAATGAGAAAGAACAAAGGTTAGTTGCTAAAAATGTTTTATACTCAGTAATTGTAAATCATAAGTTATTGTGTTATAGCAGCTGCTTGTTACATGTTGCAGTGTTTTTTTTTTATAAAATAAAGGTTTTATGTGAAAGAAGTTGATAAATATAAATGTCATATTTTTCTTGCTGTGTTACATTGATTTAAATTTTTTTTTTTTTATGCCTGTGGTAAATATAACTGATATACTTAATTCTTCAAAACATTTAAATAAAGAATTGTTTAGTAGTGCTATTTTATCTCACGTTTGTATTGTTATTGTAATAACTAATTTTATTTTAATTTTTTCTAGAATTAAACAGCTACAGGCCTTACTTGTATCTTCAAGTTCTAGTTCAGATAGTGATGATGACAGTTCTTCATCTTCTACCAGTTCTGTTTCTAAACCTCAAAATAAACATCGACAAACATCGAAAAAGCATAAACATGATAAAAAGAAGAAGAAAAAGAGGAAGTCTAAGACAAAAAATCATAAACCCAAAAAGTAGTTTGTAATTTTCAATTAGAAAAAACTGTTGAAACAGTTCATTTGTTAGTTTTGTTATATGATTAACATATAATGCTTTTTTCTTGTTTTGTTTTTTGTATAAAAATGTTGCCTATTGAAGAATGAACCCAGACTTTGAGTGCTTGGGTCCATGATGCATTACAATGGGATAAATGCATAAGAAATACAGAAAATTAAGGCTTCTGCTGCAAAAGATGTATACATCATAACCTCAAGTAAATTGACTATTGTGCTTCTGTGTATCAAAATATATTTTACTAATGGTAAAACTCTTGTGAATTTTTACTTAAAGATAGCAACAACACTTTTAGTTATTACTACATAAATACTAAAAGTGAAAATTAAAATATTTTCTCACTGTTTAAGTGCTTAATAATATTTTTAGTGAAATCTATTATATTGTGAGATTAACATCAGACATATGAATTTCATCACAGTCTTGTGTGCTCAATTTCAAACTGCCACAGAATTAGAATCTGGTTTTCATCCAGTAACCTGTTATATTGTGAGATTAACATCAGACAATGAAACTTATTACTGTTAAGTTATCAGTTTCCAACTTCCACAAGTTTCAAATCTGGCTTGCATCCAGTATTCTGTTATATTGTGAAATTAATATCAAGCATATACATTTTATTACTGTTAAGCCTTCAGTTTCCAATGGCCACAGAATCTTTTGTCCTTTATGCACTACGAGTGTATTGTGCAAACATATTTCTTTAACAGCAACTAAAAGTGCTGGTTTCACCTTGAAAATTACCTCTTTAGGTGTTATAGACAGAAGCTAGTGTTGATGGATGGCATCCTGAACCATCTCAGTTTTACAAGCTCTCTTTACAGCATGGATTCCCAGCCATTTTCTCCTCATCCCACCCACTGAGATTCTTTTCACCCAAGTCATACAAGTCACGAGAGTTGGAGATGACAAGTCTCGCATATTTGGACCTGTCCTTGGCTTATCTTCATAACTTTGTAAATTGATTAATGACCTCTAAAGCCCCAAACCACAGCTTTTACAATAGTTAGAGAGCATTGAGTCCTCCCTCACAGATGTCAAATGCTATTGTTTTACAAGTTGAAGAATCTAGTTGAGGACATAGGTTTAATAGTTCTACTTCAATGCTGCAATGATTCCTTGAATGGATGAGATGGATCACATTCTTATCAGAAGATGTATGAATTATATTTTTTAATTGAGCAAGAATGTTGTCCTGGCTGAGTATTGTATCTTCAGATGGATTGTTGTTGTTTTGCTTCCTGAACTTCTCTGTCATGGAACCACTCACCTTATTAAATAGGCTGCTTGTCATTCTTCTTTATATTCACAAGGAGACTATTAATATGAATCTTTATGAAAACGTGACTTTAAGAAAGTATGTGTTGTAGGACATCATTTGGGCAAAACCAATGTTTCTCTGGGATCTTATAGCCTAAGAAAAATTTCTCAGCAGAGGTGAGAAAAACCTAGAAGCATGATATTTCCAAAATAGCTTAGTGTCTTCTGCATTGTTAATTTGATGTAGATTTATTTTCTCTGTTTTGATAAACTTGAGAGAACAAAGATGATAAAAATAACAACACAACTACCTGCAAATGATCACTAATTACAGACTTCCATCGTCTCCATAAGCTAGTAAAGCCCAAATTTTACTCCATGATGAATTATAATAATTTTAGCCAGCAAAATGGACATGTTGTTGAGTATATTTTCCTATAGTTTCTGCAAAAACCAGTAATAAACAACATTATACATCTGAGCAAGTCTTATACACTGCCTTCCAGCCTTAGCAATGTAAGCTAAAATCTTTTTTTTTTGGTTTTCCCTCAACTTGATAGCTACAGCTATGTAGTAAACCTCAACAACTACACACACCATCATATTAGCTTCAACTATTTAAGCAACTATAGTAACTGCTATAAAAACTTTAGGTGTAATGATGATAAATGAAGATAACACACCAGAAAAGCTAATTTAGCATGAAAGTTTTGCTATTTCGTATGTATATAAAATTATTTGATGCAAGCTTGTGAGATTTAGAGTATAATGGGAAGACGCAAATTTCATATTTATGATTTCACTCTGTATATTCATGGGGGATTTATATCTGAAACTTTAGATCAAAGTATACTAGTTTTTTTCAACAGTATAAAGTCAGCACTGCAGCCCTGTTGATTGGTTAAATGGGCATGGGGTTTGTCCATTGGACTGACCTCTTATTGAAGAAGGAATGTTGACTATACTTCTGAATTTACTACATGTGTCTACAAGAAATGTGGCATGCTTTTAGTAAAATTTACAAGTCTGTTGTACACAAAAAATGAGATGCATTACAAACGTATTTGTACTCAATATATTTCTGTGAATTGATGATATCAATCTGAATCAGACTCTGACAAGTCAGATTGCAGAATAAAAATAACGTTTTTCTTTGTACAGTTTGTATATTGCATATGCATAACCTTCTCTGAAATTCATATCTACAGTTTTCTTCAGTGTCCCTGTATACTGTACCTCTCCCATTTTAAATCAGAAGTGTAGGGTAAAATAAATAGTTGTTAACTCTGAGATCAAATACACCGTGTTGAATGTTACTCTGGTGTTGAATGTTACTCTGTAAAAAGTTGTGACATGCACATTTTGACCCCCACATGTGCACATAGACTTAAAGAAACCTTGGAGACTTGCTTACTTGATTCAAAATGATTTCTTTTTGAACTCCTCTACATATGTTAAGTGGTACATATTTGGTCTAGCTAATTGATCATTTGTTTTTTCATCATGTAGCTTCACATTCTACATGTTATAAGTATTCCAGTTTGTTCTAGTTGATATTCATTTGTTTTTTCATGATAAGGCTTTAATTTCTACATGTTACAGGTGTTTAATGTGTTATAGTTGATAATAATTTGTTTTTTCATGATAAGGCTTTAAGTTCTACATGTTACAGGTGTTTCATGTGTTATAGTTGATAGTCATTTGTTTTTTCATGATAAGGCTTTAATTCTACATGTTACAGATGTTTAATGTGTTATAGTTGATAATCATTTGTTTTTTCATGATAAGGCTTTAATTCTACATGTTACAGATGTTTAATGTGTTATAGTTGATAATCATTTG